CCATTTAAATTTGCACATTGTGCTTTTATCTTTCAGCGGGAACATCCTTCTGACTGCTGGGCCTAATTGAGCTATCACTCTACCGAGAGGTACAGAATTAGAATCACGAGTTGTGCCAGCATCCTTCTCTAGGGCCTCCGCCTGTGAGCGTGACGTGCATCTAGTGATTACTGCTCGGAAATCTCCCAATGCAAGGTCCTGTCCAGCAGTGAGGGTGTCAAAGTCTGAGAGCCAAGTGTTTCCACCCTCTTGTATATCTGGTAATTTATCTATTAAAGCCTGGATGTCCCCAAGGGAATACGGCTGATAGACTTTCTGGGCGTTGGGTTTATTCTGCACCAAGGGTAATTGATAGGTCGGTGGGCCCATGGACCTAGTATGTCTTCTGTCTGGGTCTGGGGATGGAGGGCGGGAAAATTCAAGCAGGTCCCTTTCTTCCTTAGACTCTTCCTTCGTGGGCGGATTCTGCCATTCCTCTTCTAGGAGGGATTCATGACTCTGACTGGCTGCTGGAGGGGGATCAGATGATTCATGCCCTACCAGAACCATCTTAACCACTACACTTTTATTAGGGTCTTCCTGCTCTTCTCCCTTTAACTGGGAGGTTGCAAAAATTGGTGTTGGCTTTAGGCCTGATGCTTTAGGCCATACTGGTGGGCTGTTTGCCCAAGGCGCTGAAGGGGGTGCATGGGAGATCGTACCCGTGCCATAGTCAGGTGCGACCAGGCCCTGATTGAAGTAGGGAGTGGTGAATTGTTTTTGTGAGTTATCTATGTCCTGTCGTTTAGCCCTTAATTCGAACGGTGCAGCTGGGTTGTTTGCAGACGGGCTGCTGTTTAATGTTTCATTACTTGGCAGAAAAGGATTATGTGTCTCAGAGGCGGAGGACCTGACTTTAACGTCTGATCCTGATGTCATAGTTACACCTGACCACTCACTCATGTCATCAAGTGGGACTTCAGGCTGAATGTCCAATGTGCCGCTTGTAACTTTAATTAATGGATACATTCCAGCTGCTGGAGCAGTAGCTGAGGAGTACGGAGGTGGAGATTTATTCTCCTTCTTCACTTTCTTCATATTAGGTCTGGCTGCATTCCATAACATTATCCATTGCATGTACTTACTCACGCGAGCTGCCTGCTTGTCAACCTCACTTTTTATTTTCTTTCTTGTCAACACTCCAGCTTCCCTCAGAGTTTCTGCAGCTTCCTGTCTTTTTTCTCTCGCTTCTGCAGCTTTCTTCTCCCAAATCTTACTCCAGTTGCCTCTGCTGTTAACATCTGCTCCTTTTTCCTTCACCGCTTTTTCTGCTGACTTTCTCAATAAAACCTTATTTCTCGTGGCTTCTACTGGGCTGCTTGTCATATTTATTACAGTCTCTATGCAGGCTAATTGCTCTCCCATTGTACTCAGAATGTCATTAGGTCCCCATCCATCATCCTCCGTTCCACAATCATATTCTTTTTCCATCATTCTGTTAGTATGTTGTTGATTTTGGTGACAATTTGGACTGATGAGGTTTTTGCCCATAGGGGGCTCTAAATCACCAGTATTAATTAGTGAGACAGCGCCAATGACCTTTGAGGTATCTCCTTCTTCAACCGTATTTCAGGTGAGGAGATCTTACCTAGTGCATCCACAAAGGCGCGCTGTATTTCTCTCACTTACACATACAATTGTTAGTACAGTTCATTCATTCATTACCCTTCTTATCTGCGGTGGGCGTGATGATCACCGTTTATTCAACTAATCCCTATTGGTTATGATATGAAAAATCTATGTGTTTTTACACTTATCCTTACTATCTGCACTGTGAGTGCAGATAATATGTTTGCTCAGCCTAAAGATACTTATTTACTCTCATTTGGAGTTTATTCTGTCTCTTTTATTATGTAATTCAAGTTAATCAGTCAGCTTCATCTGTTTTACCGACAAAGCTGATTGAGACTTGACATCCATACAGCGTGTTCTCTAACTATGGCGTGTGTTTTGTGTCAAAAAACAGTTTCATTAAAACATCTTTTATTTCATGCAAAAACAGTTACATTAGAACATTTTTCTCATCTCATGCAAAAACAGTTACATTAGAACATTTTTCTCATCTCATGCAAAGGTCCTCGACCTATAGAATTTAGGGAGCTCTCTCGCCTCCCAGGGCCTTAACCCGAACCAGGTCCCTGACCTGTAGAATTTTAGGGTTCCCACCCCTAAGGCCTTAACCTAGCTTAATATAACCTCGTTATATTTTCTATTCACTCGTCAGTAAATAGTGTGGTCAGCCTTGACCTGGAAAATGGAATTTAGGGCTTCTTATTACCCTGGGCCTCCAACCTCTCTTGTTCTGTTCTATTTCCTTATCCCATTTATCATTAAACCATTGTAAAAATCCTTATCTTATTTTACCATTAAACCATTAAAAAAAATCTCTTATTTTTCTGCACTTGTCTCCACTTTCTTCTCCAACTATTATTTTAGGACCACAGCTACTATGATTCAAGACACAAAGGCTTTGGATAAATCCAATGAGCAGATTTTAGAAAAAAGGCCTGCTTACCTTGATTTTCACCGCGGTGTTTTGTGCCAAGATCGTTCACTGGGTCGGTTGGTCAAATCGTCCTCCAAAAACTCCTTTTTCTTCAAAAAGAAAAAATCCTGTTCGTGACGCCAAATTTTGTTGGTCTTTCTTCTGCTAGACCAAACACAGGTACGGAGAAGATGGAGATAAACACCTTTTAGTTGGTAGAATGTGGAGTCAAATGATCAGAGAAGTCCATTCACTGTTTCACCGCTCTAGAGGGGGAGAGCTTGCAACTTCCAGCAGATCCCGCGATCTGCTCCTGACAGTTGCCTTCAGACACTCTCTCCGTTCTGCTGAAACGGCTGATTTTTATTGAGGATTACAGGAATGAAACATACGCAGTTTGCCATGTACATACGTCATTGGTCATGACAGGTGAAAAAATAACAGCCTTGTTAGTGGACAGTTAATACATCACGAGAACATGCATCCGTGAGATAACTAGGAACATCCTGGTACGTCCTTTACAGGAAAAGATACACATACACGGTACCGAGAGGAAAGTGAGAAGAGCTGGAATGTGCTCACTCCCTTCTTTGGTGCAGAAGAGAATATGCTGCTATTAATCTTTGTGCAGAGGCCTTGAGTATCTGAGCAAGTCTCCATAGCATAGAATAATACAAAATGAGCTTATAAGGTAAATATATAAAAGAAGCTTATAAGGTAGATACATATATTTTCACGGTGAATGTGTATCTTTTCCTGTCAAGGACGTACCAGGATTTTCCTAGTTATCTCACGGGTGCATGTTCTCGTGATGTATTAAACTGTCCACTAACAAGGCTGTTATTTTTTACCTGTCATGACCAATGACGTATGTACATGGCAAACTGCGTATGTTACATTCCTGTAATCCTCAATAAAAATCAGCCGTATCAGCAGAACGGAGAGAGTGTCTGAAGCAACAGACAGGAGCAGAACGCGGGTTCTGCTGGAGTTGCATACTCTCCCCCTCATGAGCGGTGAAACAGTGACTGGACTTCTGATCATTTGACTCCACATTCTGCCAACGAAAGGTGTTTATCTCCATCTTCTCCGTACCTGTGCTTGGTCTAACAGAAGAAAGACCAACAAAATTTGGCGTCACGAACAGGATTTTTTCTTTTTGAAGAAAAAGGAGTTTTTGGAGGACGATTTGACCAACCGACCCAGCGAACGATCTTGGCACAAAACACCGCGGTGGAAATAAGGTAAGCAGAGCCTTTTTTTTCTAAAATCTGCCCATTGGAATTATCCAAAGCCTTTGTGTCTTGAATCATAGTAGCTGTGGTCCTAAAATAATCGTTGGAGAAGAAAGTGGAGACAAGTGCAGAAAAAAGAGATTTTTTGTAATGGTTTAATGGTAAAATAAGATAAGGATTTTTACAATGGTTTAATGATAAATGAGATAAGGAAATAAAACAGAACAAAGGGTTGGAGGCCCAGGGTAATAAGAAGCCCTAAATTCCACTTAGAGAAGGGTTGGAGGCCCAGGACAAATAGAAAGTCCTAAATTCCATTTTCCAGGTCGTGGCTGACCACACTATTTACTGACGAGTGAATAGAAAATATAACGAGGTTATATAACGCTTGGTTGGAGTCCATAGGGGGTGGGAACCCTAAAATTCTACAGGTCAGGGACCTGGTTCGGGTTAAGGCCCTGGGAGGCGAGAGAGCTCCCTAAATTCTATAGGTCGAGGACCTTTGCATGAAATGAGAAAAATGTTTTAATGTAACTGTTTTTTGACACAAAACACACGCCATAGTTAGAGAACACGCTGTATGAATGTCAAGTCTCAATCAGCTTTGTCGGTAAAACAGATGGAGCTGACTGATTAACTTGAATTACATAATAAAAGAGACAGAATAAACTCCAAATGAGAGTAAATAAGTCTCTTTAGGCTGAGCAAACATATTATCTGCACGAATAGTGCAGATAGTAAGGATAAGTGTAAAAACACATAGATTTTTCATATCACAACCAATAGGGATTAGTTGAATAAGCGGTGATCACCACACCCACCGCAGATAAGAAGGGTAATGAATTAATGAACTGTACTAACAATTGTATGTGTAAGTGAGAGAAATACAGCGCGCCTTTGTGGATGCACTAGGTAAGATCTCCTTACCTGAAATACGGTAGAAGCAGGAGATACCACAAAGGTCATTAGCGTTGTCTCACTAATTAATACTGATGATTTAGAAGCCCCTATGGGCTAAAAACCTCATCAGTCCAAATTGTCACCAAAATCAACAACATACTAACAGAATGATGGAAAAAGAATATGATTGTGGAATGGAGGATGATGGATGGGGACCTAATGACATTCTGAGTACACTGGAAGAGCAATTAGCCTGCATAGAGACTGTAATAAATATGACAAGCAGCCCAGTAGAAGCTACGAGAAATAAGGTTTTATTGAGAAAGTAAGCAGAAAAAGCGATGAAGGAAAAAGGAGCAGACGTTAACAGCAGAGGAAACTGGAGTAAGATTTGGGAGAATAAAGCTGCAGAGGCTAGAGAAAAAGGAGAGGAAACAAAAGAAACTCTGAAGGAAGCTGGCGTGTTGACAAGAAAGAAAATAAAAAGTGAGGTTGAAAAGCAGACAGCTCGTGTGAGTAAGTACATGCAGTGGATAATGTTATGGAACGCAGCCAGACCTAATATGAAGAAAGTGAAGAAGGAGAATAAATCTCCACCCCCGTACTCCTCAGCTACTGCTCCAGCAGCTGGAATGTATCCATTAATTAAAGTTACAAGCGGCACATTGGACATTCAGCCTGAAGTCCCACTTGATAATATGAGTGAGTGGTCAGGTGTAACTATGACAACAGTATCAGACACAAAAGTCAAGCCCTCCACCTCTGAGACACGTAATCCTTTTCTGTCAAGTAATGAAATATTAAACAGCAGCCCGTCTGCAAACAACCCAGCTGCACCATTCGAATTAAGGGCTAAACGACAGGACATAGATAACTCACAAAAACAATTCACCACTCCCTACTTCAATCAGGGCCTGGTCGCACCTGACTATGGCACAGGTACGAGCTCCCATGCACGCCCTCCAGCGCCTTGGGCAAACAGCTCACCAGTATGGCCTAAAACATCAGACCTAAAGCCAACACCAATTTTTGCAACCTCCCAGTTAAAGGGAGAAGAGCAGGAAGACCCTAATAAAAGTGTAGTGGTAAAGATGGTTCTGGTAGGGCATGAATCATCTGATCCCCCTCCAGCAGCCAGTCAGAGTCATGAATCCCTCCTACAAGAGGAGTGGCAGAAGCCACTTACGAAGGAAGAGTTTGAGGGAGAAGGGGACCTGCCTTCCCGCCCTCCATCCCCAGACCCAGACAGAAGACATACCAGGTCCATGGGCCCACCGACCTATCAATTACCCTTGGTGCAGAATAAACCCAACGCCCAGAAAGTCTATCAGCCGTATTCCCTTGGGGACATCCAGGCTTTAATAGATAAATTACCAGATATACAAGAGGGTGGAAACACTTGGCTCTCAGACTTTGACACCCTCACTGCTGGACAGGACCTTGCATTGGGAGATTTCCGAGCAGTAATCACTAGATGCACGTCACGTTCACAGGCGGAGGCCCTAGAGAAGGATGCTGGCACAACTCGTGATTCTAATTCTGTACCTCACGGTAGAGTGATAGCTCAATTAGGCCCAGCAGTCAGAAAGATGTTCCCGCTGAAAGATAGCAGCACAATGTGCTAATTTAAATGGGATACTAAACAAAATCCATCAATTTACCTGAACCAAGCCATTGACACCTGGGTGGCCCAAACTGGCCAACACCCATCCAAACGGGGCACGAGTAGTATGTGGTTTAAAAATGCAGTCCTAAAGGGAGTCCCCGACTCAGTGACTCAGAAAATGGAAGACAACCCTGATTTGCAGGATTGTGATTTTAGCATGTGGAAAAAACATCTTATTTTTAACCTCAACAAAGTACAGGTAAAGGAAGAAAAAGACTCTGATAACTTAGAAGATTTGCAAAAACAATTGCTCAGGGTCCAATTACAAGCCGCGAAAAAGACTTTAGGTGAAAAGGGGGACAAGGTTAAGAAACAAATGGTTGCGTCCACAGCTACACCCCCACCACCGCAGACACTTCCTGATCAGGTTTCACCTGTAGCTTGGCAGCCGCAGCCACCATATTCAGGGCAGCCGCAGCCACCATACTCAGGGCCTTATGTGCCACCACAACAAAACACACCCATCCCATATGCTGCCCAGCGACCACCTTTTGCTGGTCGACCCAGAGGCGGTTTCAAGGGAAGGGGACAGTGGAGGCCAGTAGGCGGCAAAGGGGGACCACATGCTCAAGACATTTGCTACAACTGTGGTCAACCAGGACGTTGGTCCAGGAACTGCCCCTTGCCATACAGCCCACAAAAGGAAGGTCGAGGCAGAGGCACCTTTTCAGGACGAGGAGGGCCTACCGGACCCCACACCCAGATGCCAATGATGGGCTGGGAACAGTGGGAGGGTGGTCCAAGACAATAGGACACCCCACAGAGAAACTCCGACGGTCAGGGAGCCACGGCAGACCCCCTGCTGTCAATAACTGTAGATGGACAACATCAACCATTTTTGGTTGACACTGGTGCCACCTGCTCCACCATACAAACTGTACCACCCTCTAAGACATCTACACGCACTATCTCAGTTACGGGCTTCTCTGGGGAACAACAAACTCTGCCTTTCTCCCTGCCACTCCCAACTACGGTGGGAAACCAGACAGTACTGCACAGCTTTGTCTGTTCACCAACAGTTCCAGTCAACTTACTAGGAAGAGATCTCCTCATCAAATTAGGAGCCACCATTTTGTGTGGTCCTACGGGACTTACTGTCACTCTGCCAGAAGGGACTATTTTGCCCTGCACTGGAGAAGCCAGTGATGGCATGTACTTAGCCCAAAAACTGCCTGACATATCAGACTGTGCTGAGATTTACTGGGCTTTGTTGGACACAGAAACCAAGGACACTCCTGGCTTAATGACTCTGTACCAGCAGTGGAAACCCTGGCTGACTCAGGTCCATCCTTATGTTTCCCCCCCTGACCCTCCTCACCTAACATTATTCTATGACAGACATGATTCAGTCTGGTACAAAGAAGACTTCCAAAACCAACTAGAGGGACAGCAATGGTGTGTACAAACAACAGATATTTATGCTGCACCAGAAGGTGTGGCCGCGGCAGCCAACCTAACCCAGGAACAATTGGCATGGTACATGATGGGGGACGAAGCAGTACCTCATGTCTCTCTTGCTTTACATCTGGCCCATCAGGCAAAAGAACTAGGGGGAATGGTTAAACGTTCCCTAGCAACCACTGATTGGCGTTCGACTCCTCTTCCACAAGTGTCGTATTCAGACTCAACTCAAACATTTAAAATCACTGCTGTTTGTACTAATACGACACATTTACAACAGGAAACTATTAGCATATCTCATGGCCGTGAACGCACCGACCACCCTGATGCTCTGACAATGTTAGATTCGCTTCCCACCTCCCTGTGGTCAACAGGCCCCACCGATGTTGGGTTGGTTTCCATCCCACCTGTGACCTTTCACCTAAAAGATCATGCTCCCCTGTGGGTTCCACAATACCCACACAAACCATATGCTGAAGAGGGGATAGCAGACACCATCGATGGCCTGTTGCAGGCAGGGGTGTTGGAGCCATCCATGTCAGAATGGAACACTCCAATTTTACCTGTAGAAAAGAAAAATACTGGTAAATATCGAATGGTTCATGACCTGCATCGTATAAACGCCCTACTTAACACAGATTCACTTCCTGTCCCTAACCCATATGTGGCTCTGACAAACCTACCACCTTCACATGCATGGTTTACCTGCATAGATCTGGCAAACGCATTCTTTTGTCTTCCACTTCATGAATCTCTGAGGGACATTTTCTCTTTCACATTCAGAGGACAGCAATACCGATACACTCGGTTGCCACAAGGGTTCACCCTGTCACCTGGATTGTTCAACCAATGTTTGCGTCAGCTCCTAGACACATGCCCCCTACCTAATGACTGTGTTTTAGTGCAGTATGTTGATGATTTACTCCTGTCAGCGCCCTCTGCAGGCTCCTGTCTGCAAGCCACTCAAACACTACTAACTCATTTGGCCAAGCTTGAATTTAAGGTCAGCCGGTCCAAACTTCAAATAGCCAGAAAACAAGTATCATTTCTGGGGAGAATGGTTTCACAAGTTGGCGTTTCATTGTCACCAGATCATAGAAACTCCATACTCCATCACTCTAAACCTGAAACAGTCAAAGACATGTTATCCTTCTTAGGCCTGACAGGCTACAGTAGGCACTTCATCCCTAACTATGTTGGTCTCACTGCCCCACTACGTGCTCTTATAGCACCTTTTGGGATGTGTCAACTCACAGCTCACCTGGACTGGACTATTCCAGCAGAAGAAGCATTCATAAAACTTAAACAACAACTGTCCACAGCTAGTGATTTAGCTACTGCTGACTACAAATCTACGTTTTTCCTTGATGTTTCTGGATCAAAAACTCATGTAAATGGAGTTCTGTTCCAGAAAAAAGGGGGAGGTCAGAGACAAGTCTTGATGTACATAAGTGTCATGCTAGATAACATGGAAAAAAGACACCCACCCTGCACACAACATGTAGCAGGTCTTGCAAAAATTTTACAAAAAACAGCACATATTGTAATGGGCTACCCTCTGAAAGTACTGACAACACACAGTGTAGTAGCTTACATTACATCACAAGCTTTCACCATGACCCCACTAAGACAAAGAAAAATCAGTAAAATCTTAGAGGCCCCACACATCACCTACACACATGAAGGGATAAACATGGCAGACCACATGGGTTCTGGAGAACCTCATTCGTGCGAACAAAGAACAGCAATAGAAGAAAAGGTCAGACCAGATTTAAGTGCAATCCCACTAGAAAATCCTGATAAGAACTGGTTCACAGACGGCTGTTGCTATAGGGATGACAACGATGGATTAAAAGCTGCCTGGGCAGTAGTAGAGCAACTCCCTACAGGCGAGTGGTTCACTGCAGGAGCGGAAAAGCTGGAAGGACAACAGTCAGCACAGAGAGCAGAAGTGTTAGCTATTATTGCAGCTCTCAAAATGAGCACAGGGAAAAAGGTAAATATTTACAGTGACTCAGCTTATGCTGTACGAGCCGTGCATGTTGAACTGAAGCAATGGTTGAGAGCTAGTTTTGTGACTGCTGGGGTGAAACCCATAAAACATGAGTCTGAGATGAGGGAACTAGCAGAAGCTTAATTCCTTCCAGCAGAAGTGGCAGTGATAAAATGCAAAGGACATAGTCAGGGCTCTGACTTTATATCTAAGGGAAATCAGGAGGCAGATAGAGCTGCCAAGATAACAGCTGAATATCTTCCTGTATATAATCTAGTGGTTGAGACAGTAACTGTTGAAAAAAGCAGTGATCCTAGGATCTCCATCACAAAGGAAACACTCAAGAACATGCAAGATCAAGCTTCAGCACAGGAAAAAACTTTGTGGTTGGCAAGAGGTGCAACCAACACAGATGTTTGGAGAAGTCCAGATGGTAGACCCATACTACCACCTGGCATCAGGCAGACAGCAATGGAAGAAGCGCATGGAGTAGGACATGTTGGTGTAGCACAGATGGTGAGGAATTTGTCCCCCTGGTGGCATCCATACCTAACAGACATGGCCAGATATTTGGTTAAAACTTGTACAGAGTGTATTCAGTTTGGCATTAAACCTACCCTGAAACCAATCCAAGGTCAATTTCCAATACCAACATGCCCTGGAAAAGAGATAATCATAGATTTCACAGACATGATTGACAGGGTAAAAGGCTACAGGTATCTCCTAGTGTGTGTAGATGCCTACACTGGATGGACGGAGGCTTGGCCTGCGAAAAAAGAAGACAGCAAAACAGTCATCAAATGTTTGATCAATCATTATATTCGCCAACATGGGTTCCCGGAAAAAATCAGATCGGACAATGGGACACATTTTAAGAACAAAGATCTACAAGAGGTTGAAACCGTGCTGGGTCTGAAACACAAGTTTGGTTCAGTGTATCATCCTCAGTCCCAGGGAAAGGTGGAAAGGATGAATCAAACGCTAAAGGTCAAATTGGCTAAAATCTGTGCACAGACCAAATTAACTTGGTTAGAAGCTTTGCCCCTTGCTCTGATGTCCACACGGTGCTCAGTTAACAAAACCACAAGGTTCACTCCCTTTGAACTACAGACTGGACGGCCGTTCCCAGGACCTGCCACAAAATTACCTTTGACTGCTGACCTGACTGACTCCCTCGACTCAAGGTCATATTATAACCTGTTGCATAGTCTTGTCTCTCAGTTCTCATTACAGGTTAAGGCTGACCGTACCACCACAGACGCCCCATCTCCACAACCTGGGACAGACTGGGTCCTACTAAAAGTCACCAAAAGGAAGTGGACGGAGCCAAGGTGGACCGGACCCTACAGGATTACGGAGAGGACGTCACACGCTGTCCGGCTGGACGGCAAAGGAGACTCCTGGTACCACTGGACCCAGTGTGCTGCAGCGGAAGAGCTCCACCGCACCCTGACCGAGGTCCAAAAGAACCTGTCACAAAGGGAGGACCCTGACCAGGAAGAGAAGCAGCCGACATCTGCCTGACCAGAAAAAAGGATCCAAAAACCAGGAAGAGAAGTAGCTGACTGCAGTAGCGTGCCAAGCTACCAATTCTGCAGGACGAGGTAGCGTGCCAAGCTACCACCACATCCAGCGGGACGAGAATCGTGACATCATCACCCCCTGCAGCTGCCTGGAGCCAGTGAAGGGACCTCAACAGGGGGAAGAAGTAACCACCCTCCAAACATTCTACAAGGGTTCTATTCAACACCCTTCATTTATCTTACAAGGGTTATATTTAACACCCTCCATTTATTTTACCAGGGTTCTATTTAACACCCTCATTTATTTTACAAGGGTTATATTTCACACCCTCTACTCATTTTATATTATTATTCATTTGCCTGTTTAGTATTAGATATATGTTTACACTCATTGCATTTCCAAACTCAATTCTGAATGTACATATTGATTACTCACTTGTCCTGGCCGGAAGAAGATTCTGAGGGTAACATAATTCAACGAGAATCCTTTCCATTAGCCTGGTATCCAAGTAGACTGAACCGGTTGGCATACAGGGACAGCAGGTTGGGGTTGTGGAACGACAGATACTTTCGCGATTTCTCCAATTTAGAAGATTTGGTAACAATAGACAGAAAAAATGAAATCCCACTCTGGTGTAGACACCTCCATGTGGGACTCTTGGCTTGATGTATTTGGTAAATACAAATCCCTCGTTGCCTCCGTCCTGGTGTCCATGTCTGTCTTCGCTGCCATTCTTGTTACTTGCGGCTGCTGCTGTATCCCCTGCCTTAGGCAACTAGTCCAGAGATTGATCACCATTGCCATCTCTCCTCCACCTGCTGACCCAATCCTCCAGATGCCATTGTTACTAGCCAATCCTAACATCTATTTGGAAGGGGAACCCTCTAGTGATAGTAATGATTCTCATGATGAAGAAGATGATGTTAGAGTGTGAGAATGTTCTGTGATTTATGTAACAATCCCTTCACCTGTTTATTTTCATGAGTTTTTTATTATGTTGTTTTTCTTTTGATGTGGATGTTTGTCCTCGAGCTAGGCATGCCCGCTCTGTGCCAGCGGCGTTCGTCCCGGAAAAAGGGAGGACATGGGGGACTTTTCCCTGTTAGCACAGTAAACAGGGTTTTTCGCCCTCATACGGGGTGAGCATGCGATACATTCATGACGTAACATGTTCAGTTAAAAATATAATCATGTTTTATGTATTAGTTTACTGCTGGGCATATGAGAAGCTGTAAACTGTTTGATTGTTTGTATTGGTATTTTAAATCTTTGATTATTAGATTCTTTTAGATGAAATTTGGTGTTGTTGTTTTGATTTCTTATATCTTTGTTGAACTCTTAAAAGAGTTCAAAAGGGGGATTGAAAATATATGTATCTACCTTATAAGCTTCTTTTATAAAATATATGTATCAACCTTATAAGCTTCTTTTTAAATTTACCTTGTAAGCTCTTCTGTTTTATTCTATGCTATTTTATATTATGGAGACCTGCTCAGATACTCAAGGCCTCTCAGTGTTCTTCTGCACAAAGATTAATAGCAGCATATTCTCTTCTGCACCAAAGAAGGGAGTGAGCACATTCCAGCTCTTCTCAAGTTCCTCTCGGTACCGGTGAATGTGTATCTTTTCCTGTCAAGGACGTACCAGGATGTTCCTAGTTATCTCACGGATGCATGTTCTCGTGATGTATTAAACTGTCCACTAACAAGGCTGTTATTTTTTACCTGTCATGACCAATGACGTATGTACATGGCAAACTGCGTATGTTACATTCCTGTAATCCTCAATAAAAATCAGCCGTATCAGCAGAACGGAGAGAGTGTCTGAAGCAACAGACAGGAGCAGAACGCGGGTTCTGCTGGAGTTGCATACTCTCCCCCTCATGAGCGGTGAAAC